TTTTACATCAAATATGCATTATTTGCGCTTTCTACACGAAGGCATTCGATGTCAGCAAATCTGTAATTAATTAGTCACATTTTACTAAGTGTTTTTAAAGGACAGTTAGCCTGTTCTTCATTTTCTTCTGTTGTCGTTTCACTGATAACAACTTGTTTTCTTCGTGGTTTTCTGTATTTGTTTTCTGTCTTACGCTTCTCGAGTAGCTTGGGTTACGAATATGTTCATCTTTTTTGCAGGTTTCTGCAACACTATTTATTACTCTCTTTCTTGGTCTTCCTCTCGCCTTCCTCTCAGATGTTCTGCTATAAAAAAAAAAAAGTATCATATGCAGTTTGGTCTGGCTGTATTCTCACTAGAGTGCTGAACCATTTCATTCCTTTTCTGTCAATATAATCCAGATATGGTGTTGTTATGACTGCCTGTCCAATGCTGGTATACGTAATATTGTTCTTGTCTTATGTAAATGGGTCTTGGATCCCACGCAGATAACTTCAAAACTTAAACTGCTGTGAAGTTGTTGTTGTTGTTTTTTTTTTGTTGTTTTTTTAATTAATTGAATGCCTCTGTTCTCTTTAAATTTATCATTTGCCTAACCAGAAGATCTTTTGTTTTTCAGAGTATCTAGTAGTTGTTTCAAAAAGTTTATAATTTTTTACTAAAAAAGACACTTTGTTTCAGATGTATTTGATTCTTCTCTGACATATTTGATTTGCTGAAGTGACTTGTCTTTTATTTTAATTGCATGTTGAGTGGCGGCGAGATTAAGTTTTGTGTTCTGCTAATGTTGGGTGTTGCACATTTAAATCACCAATCTTCAGAGAGGTCCACCAGAGTCAGTCTGTCTTCACTTTATGGAAAGTCTTTGCTCGGTTGTCCCATTCTTCTTCTGTACGTCCTCTTTTACCGCTTCGGGTGTCGAGAGAGATATAAGGTCCTGCTTCGTGCTTTTCTGGCTGCTTCGACCAAAGACACATCGTGGTGCTGTAAAGTTTCTCTGATGTGATCCTTCCATTTTGTTTTTGGTCTACCTCTTGCTCTACATCCTTTTTTTCTTTTAGTATATGTCTTGAATGGTATAGCATCAGAAGGCATTCTCTCCAAGTGGGCTAGCCATTTGATTTGCTGGCTTTCTCTATTTATCTATCTTCTTTTACCCCACCAGTACATCACTAAAGTGATAACACCCGATGACACAAAGTGCCACCATGTGGATGAGGATCACACATGGAGAGGTCCCGGAAATCGCGTTCAGCCATTAGACTATATTTATGGCTGGGCTATATATATTGCGGCCCCTGGCAAGAGCCAGATAAGGTCTTCAAATAACGAAATATTACATCCCAAAAAGGGATGACGAGATGTTTAATTTTATACATGATTTAGAATTGGGTTTATGCCGATTTTTTCTCTTATGACCTTATTCCTGATTGATGTCTCATTACAATTTAAAAAAAAAAAAAAAACAACAGTACTTCTTAAATCCCAACTTCAGATCCATCAACAGAGCTACCACCTCTAAGAAATAATCAAGTAACAGAAAGTGTATTGATTGGCACTCATAGAAATAAGTAGAAAGATAGAAGAACACACTAGACAACATAAACATCGAAAGCTATAGTTACCGTGCCGGGAATTGAACCTGTCACATCCAGACGGCGTCTGCGCCTCGCCATGGATACAAGTGCACTAAGAACATGGTCAACTAGGAACCCCCCAAAAAAGGTGTCTTATTGGCCATGTATATCGTACAGCTTGAAATCCACAACTATGGAATATGGACAGAATTCATTAACCTCTAAGGCACACCAACGATACTTGCTGTATTGAATACAGTGACACAGCTGTTCTAGATTGTTATGTGATTCTTTCATGTAGACAGTATGTCCGATTCCAGTAGTTGGATAACAGTTTCCATTATTCCCCATGTAAGTTCAGGGTCTTTATTGGGGGGGGGGGGGGGAACAAGAACAGACCCACTGCCTGCCTAAAAGCATGTCGTAAGAGTCGACTAATTGAAAGCTTCCTTCTAAGTCGGAGTACATCTGCCTGAGAGAGTCTGCGTGCAAATGAGTCAGACCTGTTAACCGGATGTGCACGCAACACTTAGTTTCAGGAACAGGACTAGAGTCCTAGAGTCCAGAAGTGGGCGAATAAGCAGAACTTTCTACCCGAATTTACCGCCGGTGAACGCGAAGAAGAAGAAAAGGAAGCTTCCATTATGCAAAATCACCGTCTGTAGTCATTTTTAAGGCGTCTATTAATATTCACCAACCGTCTGTGTCTTGTTTAATTTGAAGAGCATTAGTAAGAGCAAGAGTTTGCTTTTTTTTTTAAAACTAATGATTGCATAATTTTCTATTTAATTGACGATACTTTTCTCAGATGTTGTGTATGTTCGAATGATGCATTTCACGCAATGTGTTGTATCCAGCAGTTAAAAGTATGGCGTATTGAGATTCGAACAGTTTTACTAAATGCAGGCTGAGCAGTTTATACCCGACCATCTCTGAAATCGCCAAAACAAGAGCCCATAAATACATTTAAGTTTTCATATTCAGAACCCTAAAATTAATAAAAATTGGGGTGCGTTTCCAATATCTAACCCCCCCCCCCCCCCACCCCCCCCCACCCCCTCCCACCCCACAACAAAAAATATTCCACGATGACGTCACAGGACTGACCAATATTTTCGAGTCTGGGAAGAGCGAGTTTTCCGGCTTTCTGATCCCCTTAACTACCCCAGAACATCTAGAACTGGTCGTAACCCCAACCCACCTACGTCCCACGAGGGAGTGCAGCCTAAGTCCGACGAATGCACGAAGCCTATCTACCGCGCCCTAAAACGTTCGACTGTCTGCTTGGGGGGATATATTGGGATAGACCGAAGATTGTTTTTTCTTTTTTTTTTTTTGTCATTGCCAGGAACTTCTTGTCCAGCGTTGCTGCTACAACTGCGTTTGCAGTAATAAGTGCTTTTGTGAAAGCTATTGAAAACTAATCTACTACTTGGGAACATACTGCTGCTGGTTTACATTGACTACAGCTAGTGTTGCTACTATCATCATTATCATTATCATTATATCGTTCTTACTTTAACTATTACTTCAACTTGAAAGGCAAATAACACTGAACAAAACGAAGAAACATAAGCTTTGCTTAAAAATCTTTGGGAAAAAAAGTTTGTGTTTTTATTCTTAGTTTAATACTGTTCCTCTTCCTCTTCTTTTTCTGCCTTTCTATCCCCCAACGGAGCATAGACCCTCAACCAACTAAAGCCAAGTCGTTCTCTCCTTCGCCATTGCATGGAGCTCTCCCCATGTCCTCCCCATTTTTCTAACTTCATTCTCCAGCTCTCTTCTCCATTTGTTTTTTGGCCTTAATTTATTCCTATGCCCCTGTGATTTCCAATGCAAAGACATTCTAGTTATGCTGTTCTCCTGTTTTCTCAGTGTGTGTCCTATCCAACGCCAGCGTCTTTTCCCCACCTCTTGGTCCACTTGAGCCTGTTTAGTTCTCTCCCTAAATTTAATTAAAAATTAATACTGTGACCTCTTTTATTATAGTGTTTCTACTTACCTAATTCATCATATGTAATAATGTTACATCTTCCATTATAGTTTTTCTCCTCAGACCATTTATCATATTTAACGCTTTTTCTTTTTTTTTTAGGTATACGTTTTTTCCTTACCTTATCCACAGTGTTTAATGCTTTTATCTCTTCTATCACAGTTAGTTTTCATCGTCCCCCTGCGGGATGCAGTTTTTCATTATTCGAAGCCCCACCCTGGCCTTTTCCGGGGGCCCTAAATAAAGCCAGGCCATAAATATTGCCTAACGGCTGAACGGGGTTTCTGCGACCTTTCCAATGGGGATCCTCATCCGCATGGTGGCACCTTGTGTCACCGGGAGTTCATCGCTCTGTGTGATGTCCTTGAGGGGTAAAAAGTCAGTCAGCCATCTTAATTATCATATTTTATCGTTGTAATTCTTCTAAATGTATGAATATATATATATGAGTGTCAGTGTGTGTATGTATGTTTGTGTAAGTATGCTTGGGTATGTATTTTTAATGCATGTGATTAATGAATGAATGAATGCATATGGGCTAGATATGAATGTGTGTGTGTGTGTTTGCGTGTGTTTAAATGAGTACGCGTAACTGTGCGTGCATGCATATGTATGTATGATTATGGGTGCATGTATGTCTATGTATGTGTGAGTGTGTATATACAAGCGGATGTGTGTTTATGTGATACTGTGTAATATTTGTGCTTGTATGTGCACAGTTATTATATTATATTCTCATCTCTCGTCTCAACCATTTTTTTCCATCTAACTTAGAAAGGCATTGCTTTACTCCTATGTGAAAGTTTTTTGTGTTCATTTTTTTAATTTCCATATTTGGCATTACTTTTAATTCCCATATTTGGCATTACTTTTAATTCCCATATTTGGCATAACTTTTAATTCCCATATTTGGCATTACTTTTCATCACACAACAAGACTACACATCAGAAGATTAAACTAAAATAATAAAACATCTGCTTTTGCACCCGTGACACTGATATCTTTAACCAGATCACGCATATTCTACATTATTTTGCATACTTTTGATAAGTGATATGTTTAATGACTCATTTCATGGAAATCAATTATTTGCGCACGGTAATTAAATGTGTAAATTACGTCATATTTCAATGGCAGTGCAGCAGTGTGTTCAGATATCAATAAGCGCAGTGCAGCAGTGTGTTCAGATATCAACAAGCGCAGTGCAGCAGTGTGTTCAGATATCAACGAGCGCAGTGCAGCAGTGTGTTCAGATATCAACAAGCGCAGTACAGCAGTTTGTTCAGATATCAACAAGCGCAGTGCAGCAGTTTGTTCAGATATCAACAAGCGCAGTGCAGCAGTGTGTTCAGAAATCAACAAGCGCAGTGCAGCAGTGTGTTCAGATATCAACAAGCGCAGTGCAGCAGTGTGTTCAGATATCAATAAGCGCAGTGCAGCAGTGTGTTCAGAAATCAACAAGCGCAGTGCAGCAGTGTGTTCAGATATCAACAAGCGCAGTGCAGCAGTGTGTTCAGATATCAATAAGCGCAGTGCAGCAGTGTGTTCAGAAATCAACAAGCGCAGTGCAGCAGTGTGTTCAGATATCAACAAGCGCAGTGCAGCAGTGTGTTCAGATATCAATAAGCGCAGTGCAGCAGTGTGTTCAGAAATCAACAAGCGCAGTGCAGCAGTGTGTTCAGATATCAACAAGCGCAGTGCAGCAGTGTGTTCAGATATCAACAAGCGCAGTGCAGCAGTGTGTTCAGATATCAATAAGCGCAGTGCAGCAGTGTGTTCAGATATCAACAAGCGCAGTGCAGCAGTGTGTTCAGAAATCAACAAGCGCAGTGCAGCAGTGTGTTCAGATATCAATAAGCGCAGTGCAGCAGTGTGTTCAGATATCAACAAGCGCAGTGCAGCAGTGTGTTCAGATATCAACAAGCGCAGTGAAGCAGTGTGTTCAGATATCAACAAGCGCAGTGCAGCAGTGTGTTCAGAAATCAACAAGCGCAGTGAAGCAGTGTGTTCAGATATCAACACGCGCAGTGCAGCAGTGTGTTCAGAAATCAAACAAATGAGTAATTTATCTTAGCTATAAACAATATTATAGGGAGCTGTCATGGTCTAGCGGCTAGACGATCGCCTGCGGATCGGAAGGTCGTGGGTTCGGTTCCTGACAAAGGTTGAATTTTTTTTTAATGTACTAGGCTCCCAGGTCGATCTAGCCTTGAGTGGGTACGAGGTACAGTCCTGGGAAGTAAAGGCAGTCGACTTGATGCTGACCACATCAGTCACCAAGTGCTGTTTTGTCTATAAAATATAGGTCTGGCCCTATATACCCAATTCGCCTGATAGACGGGGAAAAGGGTCATTTACTTACAAAGCTATTGGAGAAAGCCTATATTTTCTCTTGAGCATGTGTTTCTTAACGTATTTTCGAATATGGTGGTTTAAATTTTCTGAGGTAATTTCTTGACAAAGGTTGAATTTTTTTTTAATGTACTAGGCTCCCAGGTCGATCTAGCCTTGAGTGGGTACGAGGTACAGTCCTGGGAAGTAAAGGCAGTCGACTTGATGCTGACCACATCAGTCACCAAGTGCTGTTTTGTCTATAAAATATAGGTCTAGCCCTATATACCCAATTCGCCTGATAGACGGGGAAAAGGGTCATTTACTTACAAAGCTATTGGAGAAAGCCTATATTTTCTCTTGAGCATGTGTTTCTTAACGTATTTTCGAATATGGTGGTTTAAATTTTCTGAGGTAATTTCTTGACACTCGCGTGCTCATTCTAATAATGTTAGCAATTTGACCAGTAGAATCGATTGTGAAAACAGATGTAATGTGAAAAATATAATCCCGCGCACCCCCCCCCCCCCCCCCCCATTCACCCCTCCCGCCTCCCCACAAAGACACACAATAGCAGTCGTGTTGCATTAACTTCACAAACGGTGATTATAAAATCATAGAAATATGTTGAGACAATACAGTCATTATAAAAACTCCCTGAATATAAAGTAAAGGACCCTTTCCAATACCTTCAGGCGTATTGAACATAGATAAAGCTAGGTCTCTATTTTATAGAGCAATCAGCACTTGCTGGATGATGTGGTTAGCCTTACGCTGACCGCCTTAACCTCCCAGGACTGTACCTAGGCTTTGTGGACCTAAAAGCCAAGGCTCCGTCAGGACCCGAATCCACGACCTTCTGATACGCAGGCGAGAATATAGCCGCTTCACCATGACGACTCCTACACTCGTATATACACACGATAATTAAAAACATAGGCACCTTAAGAAACAAGCATTTCACATTTCAAATAATTCATATTCCACAAAATGAAAGTTATCTGAAAGAATACTGCATTATGGTCGATTTACTTCCGACGCCTTGACATATTCAGTTAGAGCTGAAAACGACAGTCAGAAAGCAGCAAAAACCCACCCAGTGTGTGTAGAGTAGAGAAAGGGGGGAAAACAGAGAGTAAAAATCCTGACTGGAGCACACACTTCAGAAACTTAACGGTAAACAGGGTGAGTAGTTGGAACCAGGGGGGCCTGGCTCAACCGTAGACTATCGTGCGTTTTGTCTTATTAATTTAACAGCAATGTTTGAAATACATTTCGCCGTGGCACTGTGTGTGGCTTCCCCGTGCAATTTATGTTTTTATTTATAGCTCCCCCATCTTGTTAACTTTATTACGGAGCTCTGAGGTAGGTCTGCGGGTGAGTGTGTGTGTGGTGGAAATGTGTGTGATGAACAAGGCATGCGAGCGCTCGGGGATGGAGATAAATGATGCTGAATTCGGATGAAAGTGGAGCGTTTTGAAAAGAGGGAGAGAGATTGTGTGTTGTGGAGGAGGTTGTGTGTGTGTGTTAGTGTTTGTGTCTTGATGTGTGTTACGTGTGCGCGCGTGTCTATGCGTGTGTGAATGTGTGCACAGTCATTACGCTAGTAAGTAGTTCTTGGGAGTTTCAGAGAGTTGTAGAATATGAAAGAATTTGGATAAATTATAATATTTGCCTATGAATAATGGAATGCACTAAAGGATTATAGATTGTGAGTGGCAAACATATAATAAAAACAATAACAAATTTGCATGTCGAACAAATACAAATAATTCAGAATGAACTGGAATTTAAATTAGGCTGATCTATTTCACTATGTGCGATTCATCTTTAGAGTATAGTACAATGTAAACAAATAATCGATTTTGAATTCTCTTGTGGATTCAATTTTTGGATTAACAAATTTACTATTTGCGTTTCTTTGCTGCAGTACGCCGCAACTGTAAAACTGACAATGAACTGTGTACAGGAATTTAAATTAGACCTAACTATTTCACTTTGTGCGAATCATCATTATAGTATAGTGCAGTTTAAATAAATAATCGAGGTTCAGCAGTCTACTAAAATGTGTGTATGTTTTTTTTTTTCGATTACCAAATTTACGATGCGTGCGTTTTTTTATTTTTTTAGTATGCGGCGAATGAAAACAAACAAAAAATCCACAATGAACTATCTAAATGAGTTCATATTAGGCTTAAATAACTCACCATGTTTTATTTATCACTGTAGTATTGTGCAATGTAAACAAAAAATCGAAAATAAACTGTCTACTTGAGTTTTTTTTTTTGGGGGGGGGGGGCGGGGGGGGGGGGGGGGGGGGGGGGGGGGGGGGGGGGGGGGGGGGGGGGGGGCTAACAAATTTATTAGTTGACATTGTTGTTGTAGTCTGCGGCCAGTTTTCACAAAAATTTGATAATGAACTGTGTAAATGAGCTTATATTAGGCTTAACTAACTCACTATGTGCGATTCTTTGTTAAAGTATGGAGCAAATGTAAACAAACAAACAAATTGCCAATAAACTGTGTAAATAAATTTTCATTGGGCTTAACTAACTTACTACGTGCGATTCTTGTTATTGTATGGGTTGAATATAAACAACAAAATCGACAATGAACGGCGTAAATGAGTTGATATTAGGCTTAATAAATTCACTATGTTTTATTCATCACCATAATATTGTGCAATGTAAACAAATAATCGACAATGAACTGTCTACTTGAATTTATTTTTGGATTAACACATTGATTAGATGCGATATTTTTGTTGCAGTCTGCGGCCAATGTTTACCAATATCCATAATGAACTGTGTAAAGGTGTTTATATTAGGCTTAACTAACTCACTATGTGCGATTTTGTGCTATAGTATTAGGCGAATGTAAACAACAAACTCTGCGATCAACCGTGTAAATGAGGTTATATTAGGCTTCAATAACTCACTATGTTTTATTCATCACCATAATATTGTGCAATGTAAACAAATAATCGACAATGAACTGTCTACTTGAATTTATTTTTGGATTAACACATTGATTAGATGCGATATTTCTGTTGCAGTCTGCGGCCAATGTTTACCAATATCCATAATGAACTGTGTAAAGGTGTTTATATTAGTCTTAACTAACTCACTATGTGCGATTTTGTATTGTCCAATCAGATCAAGGTAAACAAAACGATTGACGGTAGACTGCGTACGGAAATTAAATGTAAAATTTTGCATTGTGCTTTGGTAATTCAGTGCGATTGTAAAAATGCGCGCACACACACACACACACACACACACACACACACACACACACACACACACAAGATAAAAGAACTGATTTTAAAATAGCAATTATTAAGTTGTGTTTAATTCTTCTTTATACCTATGATTTTTTCTTTTCCACTTTAATACTATGCAAATAATAATAATAATAACAAAAATAATTACAATAATTGTGTAAAGATATATATTTTATATTAGGCTTTGCTAAATCGCTGTCTGCTATTTCTGATTGTGATAAGGCGCCGAACAGAAATTATCGGTAAGGAATATTAAACTGTGCATATGATTTTACATTAGCAGTTATATAATTATGTAGGTGTCTTCATTAGGGATACAAATATTTACGTATCTTCATTATGACTATAATTATGTACGTGTCTTCATTATGGATACGAGGCTTCATTGTAGTAAAATGGTAACTAATGACGGAGGCTGGAAAAGATTTACTAATTTATTTTAATTTGTTGCTGTTTTTATTGTCAGAAGATGCTTACCCGAAATGAATACCCAACAAATAATCGTGCCCGGCATTTTACAATCTATTTTGTCTGCTTCTTTAGCAGTTTTTCCTCAAAAATGTGGTTGGCATGTTGTAGGTTTACAACTTCTTCTTCATCTTCTTAAAGTCATTTCCGTGTCTCGTTGGTAGTCATGTCAATCTACAACTTTTTGTATTGTCTACTTTCAGTCAGCTCTGACACAGATGATTCTCCGTGTCATGAGGTTAAACTGACCAGCATCTATTCTCTCGGTCTTCATCTGTCTCTCCTTCCCTCCAACTTTCTGCTGTTACAATCTACCCCAGTTGTCTCCTTCTCATCACATAACCAAAGTTTACAGATAGGCTGCGATATTTGTGATTTTTTTTTTTTTCATACATCCTGTGTTAACTGATACTCAATTAGTCGTGGTTTATAGCATGTTTGTTAATGTGCTTAGCGCCCGAGAAATGATACGCAGAACTTAAACTTGTAGGGTGCAATTTTTCTTTGTTTTGGATCCCTACCGTGGTTCTTACCATGGGCTGCAATCTAGCCCTGCCATAAATATGGTCCAATGGCTGAACGCGGTTTCTGAGACCTCTCCACGGGAGATCCTCATCCACATGGTGGCATTTTGTGTCATCGGGTGTTTATCGCTTGTGTGATGTTCTAGTGTGGTAAAATGTACTACTACGACACGCAGTATATGGGAATTAACTAATTAAGTTTAGTAAATATTTTAAAAATCGCCGATTTGGAATTGCAGTACCGTGTTAAAACGAAATAAATGTACACAAAGAACTGCGTACAGTACCTATTTTTCATTAGACGTATTAAAAGTTACGTTAGCCATATTCTTGTGGGATGCAATTTTTTGGTTATTTTGAAGCTCCACCCTGGCTCTTATCAGGGGCCGCAATCTAGCCGGCCGTAAATATGGTCTACTGGCTGAACGCGGTTTCCGGGACCTCTCCACGGATGATCCTCATTCACAT